AGGCTGGCAGGAGGGTCTGCCCTGACTGCAACCTGTAGTATCCCAAGCACTTGATGCATAGTTTCATCAGATGTATACTCACATAAGTTGGTGATTGATGCAATTAAGTCCTTGATATGTGGCCCAGTGATTCCCGAGTCTGCAACGGTTAAAAGCTGTGAAAGTGCCTGTCCATCACCTCCTCTTACCGGAGGAAACACATCCCTGCCACTGGCCTCCACAACCACATACCCAGCCTGCTCATCAACTCCCCAGCTGAACACAGAGGAAAAGTTGGCAACAGATGAAAACCTACAGTACGCCAACTCCTTCTCTAGATTCTGCAAATTTACCTTTATAATGGCCCTTGCTGCCCAAAATTTTCAACATGAACTCACCTAACTTTTCTGAAAACATTTCATTTGGTTGCCAATGTTGTTGACCTCTGACAAGAACAAATTTATCTTTTGTAATGTCCCCGATGTGAAGTAATTCATTTTCATAAACAATTAGGACTCTGTTTCCAAATGAACATGGGTAGAGAAGCAAACCATCCATCGGCAATTGGCTGGGCATTAAATCCACATCGGCTGCAAGATTCGGATAAACATTATATGGCAATTGTACAACCTGTCTTTTCTTGGCATCAACATTCAACATAGACACATAGCCATATTCTTCCCCCATGAACAGGTACTGAGTGCCATAGATAACTTAGTTTTAAAAAGCGCGCCTGAGGTGCATAAAGGCGCGAGGCGCATAAAGGCGAAGAAGTCATCGCCTTTTACATAGCCAGGCGGCTTAGGGTTTACGAGGCGTGCGCTTCTCTCGCTTATTTGCGCCTTTCTCGCTTCTGAGAGGCGAGCGCCTTAGCCGCCTCATGGATTCTGGCGATTACCGTTCCTTGGCGTGCGCTTCCCTCACTCCATCAAACTCCAAACCTCCAAGTCTCTCTAGTCTTCTTCCTTACTTCTGCTTTTGGTAATTTGGTCTTCGGATATATCTGCCTATCTGCGTAACTCTGCCCCTTCCGACTTTCTCTGCTTCCGATCTTGCGCTTCTGCCTTCTTGCCTTCTATCACGCGTAAGTCTGCTTCCGATCTTGCAGAGCCGCAGAGGTAAGTCTGCTTATTTTTTTATCTTCTTTTATTTATTCTCTTTTATTTTAAGTTGTTTTATTTATAAAAATATTAAAATTATTTGAATAAAAAGTTAGATAACTGACCGTACGTAGTTATTAATTTTACAGAATTGTATATAAACGTCAGTCAGATTATTAACTATGAATAAAAATATATTTTAAGTTTTTATCTTCTAACACTAAATTATTTGAATAAAAAGTCAGATTCTGACCATACATCCGTGTGTAATTAATTTTACAGAATTGTATTTGAGTGATAGTTTATTAATTAAATATGTATTATTTTATAGTATATTACAATTGCATAACAATGATAATATCATAATACTATATAATATATATTTTAGTGTTAGAACACTGATTTATTAACAATGTATTGCAAAAAATGACAGTTTTTATTATTAACATTTTTTAACAAATTTTTATATAATAGCTTATTACAATAATTATTTAAATTACTATTAAGTATTAACAGTTTTTATATAACTTAATTATTTAATTTATCACAAAATGATTACTAATTTATCACAGTTTATTACATTAATTATTTAAATTACTATTAACAGTTTTTATACAACTTAATTAATATTTTGTTTCTCTTATGATGTTTATTAAGATTGTTTAATAGTTTGAAGTATTTTTGAGAAGAGTGCTTCATGTAGAAGTACTAAAAATATATTTAACTGAGGGAAATGTGGCTGAGATCCGTGATGCGCGCGCATCACCGCCTAGCGCCTCGCGCCTCGGGTAAATCAAAAAAACCGCCTCAAGGCGCCTCGTGCCTTTTAAAACCAAGATAGATAACAAAAAATGTGGTTATGTTTGGCTCCCCCATTAATATAAAAGACAAGTGATTATTCTCAGGATCCCAGACCATAAGGCCTTCAGTATTGTTCCCTCCCTCGACTTTCCACCTACCATCTGTTATCCAAATAGATAAGAATCGTTGAATAGGGTCAAAAATCAGGATTGATGCAGTGATTTTATTTCCAACGGAAGTCTGCCCACTAAGTGCAAGGGTTTTTGCTACCCCACAAAATCTTCCCATCTCAAAATCATTAAGTAATAGGTTTAAATTAACACTGGCAGGATCAACACCAAATGATACTAAAGCTCTATCTCTTTCATCCGCTGAAACTCCTCCTGAACATTTAACACGGGTGTCCCCATTTCCCCCCTTCTTGTGGTCGAAATAACGAATTATCCAAGTAGTCAATCAATTCTTCCCCTTCTTGCGTAACAGTTCCACCTGCTATCTCAGCGACAAAGTCTGTAATTCTGCTATCTCTTGCTACAAGGTTAACCCCAAAACTGGCAGGTAAATCAAGATTAATTGGACCTTTTCTATCCAATTGCACTAAAACAAGATAAACAGACAATCCACACCTCACAGTGCATATGATAGACCCAATTATATTTACTTGCACCAGATTAAATACAATCCTAGGTGGGACCTCAAAGCAAAACTCTCCACTGTCAACTGTTTTTTATTTGATGTGTCATGTTTTCTGGTCCATGAGTACTCGTTACCTCTTCACGCAAATCACTTTTGGAAGTTGGGCTGGAATCTGGATCAAATTTGTTAGCACCTTCCTGACTGTAAGGAGTGCCAGCTTTAGGCCAAGCAGAAACTGTGGATTGCTCTTTGCTTTCATCATCGCCATCTGTGAGAAGCGATGAAACTTGTGCACTGGGGACATCTGCTCGCCGCGACTCTGAACTGGCATGAACCGCTAGCGATGCCACCTGCAAAGGGTAGTATTCTGCTTGCGAGGAAGATGGAGTACAGGTAAAAACGACTGGCGTCCAATTCTGCGGACTGTTAGGAGCTGTTCGCGACTCAGTCTGCGAATAGGGAAGAGCTGATGGCGACTGTAGCGGACCTTTGCTTTTCGAATTTCGGCAGTGACGCACGGTCCTCGATCGTCTGCGCCGGCGACGTTGTTGCCGCAGCTTGGCGCGCATCTCATCCAGCCAGATCATCATCTCCTTCGCCCACTCAGTTTCGACCTTTTCCTTGCTCTTTGCGCGCTTCTCATCCAGCCAGATCCTCATCTCCTTCGACCACTCAGTTTCAACCTTTTCCTTGCTCTTTGCGCGCTTCTCTTTCTCCAGGTTTGAGCGCTTCTCCTTCTTCAGGTTTGAGCGCTTCTCCTTCTCAAGATTTGAGCGCTTCTCCTTCTCCAGGTTCGAGCGCTTCTCCTTCTCCAGGTTCGAGCGCTTCTCCTTCTGTTCTGACCGTCTATGTCCCCTGCGCAAACCAGAGTGCTTCTCCATGTTTCTAGGGTTCGACTGCTCTAATACCATTGATAGGAACCTCAACAACACAATAGACAATAGAATATTATTGATGAAGATTTCAGAGCTTGAACTGAGTGCCAATGGTGTAGACAGAAAAATAGAGACGAACAGATATTGTTGAGACAGTTCGAGTCGTCTCCCACTCCCAAGGCCTAATTCCAGATCCAATTTCTGTCTGTTAGCCCATTGCTATTTAATTCAGGGCCTAAACCCCTTTTATTCTACAATATTAAAAGACCAATATTATTCTTATTGGTAGTACTATCTAGGTCTCTATCAGAGCTCGAGCCGAACTTGAGCATAGAAAATATTATGGAGCTCGAGTTTGAGTTTATGTGAGTTCGGGCTCAGATCGGCTCATATGCACCCCTAGTGTGGACATAGCTGAAAAGATTGTTTGAGCAATGAGATAATCAGACAAAAGGTTAGAGTAACTCCTATGGAAGATAAAATGTTGAAGTCTCGATTGCTATAGTTTGGTCATGTGCGTTAGTGCGTAGAAGACCATGTGATGCACCTGTTAGACAAGTTGAGATATGTGAAGAAGAGGCAGAGACGGGGGAGGAGAGGTAGAGGAAGACCCAAACAGAAGTGGATCGGAGGAATTAGGAGTGACATGCTTCTTCTTGGGTTGGATAAGACTTGACAGTATAGCTTTGAATAGAAGAAGTGGAGGATGAATATTCATGTGCAGGATTGATCTCTTTTTTCTCTTATATCTTTTATCTTTTTATCTTCTTTATCTTTCTTATGCTCTGTACCAGTTTATACTTTTTATATTATATATATATAGTTTTATCATTTTTTTAAATCTTTATCTTATACCCCTCCGTCCCATAGAGAGATTTCCGATTCGGTTTACGATGTTTGACCGACGATAAAACAATTTGATCCCTGTTCACACTGATTATTTTTAGTAAATAAAATTTATATATTCAGAAACTACATTAAAAAATTTACAAAGCCTGCTCAGGAAAATTTAAATTTGATAAAAATTTAATATATAAAGCAAAAAAATTAAGAATGATTAGAATTCAATATGTAAACTATTAATGCTAATTTTTACAATATTTGAATTCAATTTTTTTCAATCAAAATTACACTATGTGTAGTTCTAACTATGTAAATTTAAACTATTAATGCTAATTTAAATATTTCATAGGGAGAGGTAAGTCAGTTAATCATAAAGCTATAGTGGGACCTTAAAATTTAATATTAGAGACATGAGAAGTTTGCATTTCTTGAATAATCTTCTGACAATCAAGCATGAGAAGTTTGCATGTCTTGATATCCCTCCAAAACGTCTTATAAGGTATTAAGGTAAAACCCACTTAGATATATGTCACTTAAGCTGCTCTAATTAAAAACAAGTTGGAAGTGCATTTGATTGCTTCTTTTTCTGAGTTTTAAAATCAAACATTGAGAGACGGCCTCTTAGCTTTTAGATTTTTAGAATACAGACTTTTGGTTGCAAAAGTTCATTGAGGAATGCATAAATCAAGTAAGTATCCTTTCCAGTTCATTCTTACTTTGCTTCTGACTTTATTTCTTATTTTTTCTTTATTCTTCATTGGAAAAGGAAAGAGCATATATGATGCTTACAATGCATGGTAACGGGAGTGATTATGTCAGTGAAGAAGAATATGTACATGACTACCGCCACGATAGCTCGGGTGATCCCAGTGAAGTAGATGATAGCCATGTAGATCTAGATGATGAAGATGCTTTTGATTTTCATTCTCGTGATGAAGCAAGCGATGATGAGAACCAAGGTATTCAGTTGGACCCAGCTGCTTTTCCAAGTGATGAGGCCTATGCTAGAGCACTACAAGAAGTTGAAGAGAGGGAAATGACAGCTAGATTGCTCGCCCTTGCTGGACTAAATGAAGGCATGTCTCTTTTAAAAAATTGTCGTTAACATTCCAAAACCGTCTTTCATTATTGTGCTATTGTATTGGGTATTCATATCACATCATTGCTAGTTTATGTAGGGAGAGCTCTAAGTGAAGAGGATCATGGTCAAAACTCTCAGGTAGGCTTCTTCTTTGATCCCATTGTATGTCAGTGTTCTAAAGATCACTAGGTGCTAACTGGGAAGAATATAATTATGCAAATTTTAACACAACAAGTTGGACTTTTTTTATCGAGAATTCCACAAACTCCCTCAATTTATGTTTTGTGAAATCCTTCTAAATTTATTATAGTATCTGCTCATGATAATGCCAACATCCTTGATTGGGATGGGGTTCGAACTTGCGACCTCCTCTTTGGGAGCAGTAGTGATGCCATCAGACCACGAGGTATTTGGCAACTCCCTCAGACCTTTCTTGCCCAAAAATTGCATGTTTTTCCCTCAGTTCAATTAGCCCCTAAATAGGCTTTTAAGAGTTTGGAAATAAAACAAAGAAATCAACTACAGAAAGACAACAATAATTACAATCAGAGAGTATTATCTAAGATCTCCAGGGATTCTCAAATCCCTGATTGTGACTTTGATGAAAGGAGAAAATCCAAAACTTCAATATTCTTGATTATTCTCACTAAACCCTAATTAGGGATATAAATACCCTAATTAAAGGATAACATAATAATAATTAAAAGATACTCCCCAGGCCCAACAAAGAAACAACAGAATAATTAAATGATACTCCCCAGGCCCAATCAAAGAAACAACAGAATAATTATAAATTAAAAGTCTATTATAAAAGAACCCAGCCCACGAAGGTGGGCTCAAGCCCGTCCCCGCCTTCGGTAGACCAGCAGTGGTCTCGGTAGCACATCTGTCACTGCAGCCACTTTACACTTGCCGTGCAGAAATCTCCGTATTGAGGGTGGCGGTCTCCCGTACACTACTTCGAATGGGGAAACCCGGGCTGCTGTTTGAAATGCAGTGTTATTATACCTGTATTCCGCCATGGCAGCCACCTAAATCACTGTGTCGGTTGCTCACAAGTGAAACAACGCAAATAAGTCTCCAACACGCGATTCAATACCTCCGTTTGACCATCCGTCTCTGGATGATAGGCCGAACTAAATTTCAATTAGGTTCCCGAAAGTGTAAACAGCTCCTTCCAAAACGCACAGATAAACAAGGAATCACAATCACTGACAATAGAACGTGGAATGCCGTGCAACCGGACGACTTCTTTGGAAAAAGCTTCTTCCACTGACCGTGCAGTGACAGGGGTCTTAAGAGCTATAAAATGTCCATACTTGGACAGCCTGTCCACCACCACGAGAACCGTTGTGTTCCCCTTCGATTTGGACAAACAAGTAATGAAGTCCATTGCGATATCTTCCCAAATCAGATCTGGAATGGGCAGTGGTTGCACTGCCGGCGACATTGCTTCGTACTTGTTCTTTTGACAAACCAAACACTGGGCCACATAATTTTGCACCTGACGATACATTCCCCTCCAATATACATTCATTGCCAACCTTCTGTAGGTGCGATAAGCACCAGCATGCCCCCCTGACGGCGTGTCATGGAACTCCTTCAACAAGCGAGGAATCCACTTAGAATCTGAAGCCAACACTAAACGGTCTTTGAAGAACAACCTCCCCCCTATTAATTCATAGCCTGGCTTACAAGTTGGATCTCCAATCAGTGCTTGAACAATTTCGTGCAAGAATTCGTCTCGTTTCTGCTCTTCCTCCACATCAGCCAATCCCAGCCACTCGGGGCCGCTAACCGCGGCCAATGCAGCCTCCTCCCCCCTTCTTGATAGAGCGTCAGCTGCTCCATTGGAGATGCCCGTCTTGTACTCAATCACAAAATCATACCCTAATAACTTCGCCACCCAAACATGTTGGGCTGGAGTTGCTATCCGCTGAGTGAGCAGGTGTTTGAGGCTGCGATGATCAGTACGAACCACAAACTGCCGTCCAATCAAATAAGGTCGCCAATGTTGAACGGCTAAGGCTAGTCCCATCATTTCCCTTTCATAAGCTGATTTGGAGAGGGTTCTATCCGCCAATGATTTGCTGAGCACCGCCCCAATGCCGGTACCTGATGCATCGCACTCTACCACAAATTGGCGATCAAATCGGGGCATAGCTAGTAGAGGTGCCTCCGTCAATGCCTTTTTAAGGTGTTGAAACGCCTCCTCAGCCTCGGGAGGCCAAACAAATCGAGCTGGTGCATCCTTCTTCAAAAGAGTTGTGAGTGGTCGTGCAATAAGACCATACTCCCTCACTGATACGACACAGAAGAATTCCAGAAGACAATATAAGTTTATTACTGAGAGTTAATAGAAGGAATACTGAAAATAACGTAAGAAAATATAGAGACTCTTCGAGTGGCCTCACACTCCCAATTTCCCAGTCCCGATCCCAAGTTCTGCCCCCCATCTAATCCCCACTCACCCTTATTTATTCTATTTCTAATGGGCCAGCCCACTTCTAATAAGTTATAGGGCCTAAACCCTATTATTGAACAAAACTAAAATGACTTAATAAGGCTCTAATCCTTGGTAGTGTTCAGGTCCCTAACATCACTCCCCCCTTTAACTTCCACCTTGTCCTCAAGGTGGATGATAAGAGACTGATTTTGCATTAGGTTCCAGCAAGTTTTCAGCTCCATCCCGCTCATAAAATTGATCTACTGTGCCCTCCTCTTCTTCTGGGCCTCTGGCTCTTCCCTCAAGATCAATTGATAATGTTTCATTCCACAAACATGCTCTTTGCCCCATTTGTTTCCACATTTGAAGCATAAGCCCTTCTTGCTTCTTTCTTCTAAGTCTGCTTGTGTTAACCTTTGGCCACCTTCCCATGTCTTACTCGGTTTTGGCGATTCCTCCAGTTTGTTCTCTGAAAGTGTTCTCTCCGGATTTAACGCAGGTGTTCTTCCCTTTGTTGCGTCAACCCTGTTCCATCCTCCCTGTTCCTTCCAACCTATGTTGTCTTCTTCTTTATTTTTTTTCCGTGTCCACACCTTATTCTTCTGCTCCAACAACAAAGCCTTGTCCATCAGTTCAGTTAACCCACTGGTCTGGTGCAACTTCAGTTCCGTGCTAATTTCTTTTTTAAGGCCATTGAGAAACACTCCTTTTAACATCCCTTGGTCAGCAAGTTTGAGAGGAGCTACAACCATTTCAAAGTGATCCCGGTATTCCATTACATAACCAGTTTGCCTAATACTGAGCATAGGACCAAACGGATTCTGCACTAAGGCAGGTTGAAAACGCCGGAACAAAGCATCTTTGAAGTTAACCCAAGAATGGTCGTCAGTCTGTTCATCCCACCATTGGTACCAGTTCAGAGCTTTTCCGGCCATGGCTATCAAGATTATTTCTACTTTATCCTCTTCTGCCACATGGTTGAGTTTGAAATAGCTCTCAACCCTAATCAGGTATCCATAAGCATCGTCTCCACTAAAAAGTGGTAAATAGACCTTTCTTCCAGTATATACACGGTCGCTGATTCTCTTCTGATAAGGGCTGCGTGAAACTGAGTGAGTTTCATGAGATTTACCTTCAGAACTAGAGGAGCTCACGCTTGGTGAAGTATGGCGACGACGGTTTGTGGTTGATCGTCCTCTTCTCTTATGGCGGTCACCCTGTAACATGATATTCTTCAATTCGGCCACGGTCTCACGCAAGCCAAGCAGTTCATTCACGGCAGTTCTCACTTCCGCTAGGGTGTTTTCCAGATTTTCCACACGTTGCTCCATTCTCGATCGGGTCAAGACCATGCGCAGGTAAGGCTTTCGTCAATGGCTTTGATACCAATGATCCGACACAGAAGAATTCCAGAAGACAATCTAAGTTTATTACTGAGAGTTAATAGAAGGAATACTGAAAATAACGTAAGAAAATATAGAGACTCTTCGAGTGGCCTCACACTCCCAATTTCCCAGTCCCGATCCCAAGTTCTGCCCCCCATCTAATCCCCACTCACCCTTATTTATTCTATTTCTAATGGGCCAGCCCACTTCTAATAAGTTATAGGGCCTAAACCCTATTATTGAACAAAACTAAAATGACTTAATAAGGCTCTAATCCTTGGTAGTCATACTTGTCACGGCGGTAAGTCGAGTCGCGGCGCCAGCCAACTGCCATATCACCTAGGCGATTAGGCGCCCGCCTAGGCGACAATTAGGCGACTAGTCGCCTATATATTTATATATATATAATTATGTATATAATTATATATATAATCATACATATAATTAAACTATGCAAAATATATATCATACGTAGTATAGATTAGTATGTACCAGTTTTTATGATTATTTTAACAGTTTATTATTTTATAATTTAGAACATATAATAAAATAGAAGTCTCACAGGTTGGGTATATCATTATATCATATTATATCTTGATTCTGTAATATAGAAGTGTATATATACACATATATTGATAGATAGATGAAAATACACCCTTTATATATATATATATATATAAATACACAACCTAATTAATTAAAATAATAAAAAAATGAAGCCAAGAAGAAGAGATCGGGGACTGGGAACTAGGGTGTCGCCTGCTACTCTGCTTCCGCGAGCGAGGGACAAGGAGGGCCATACCTGCGACTTTGTCTTCTTCGTGGAGTTGTTCGTCTGCTTCCTACGACTCTACGAGGCTGCGACTTGGCTTGGCTATACGACTTTGGGCAACGAATCGTCGGTAAGGAAGATTACTGTGGGCTTTTAATTAAAGCCTAAATCTATTTTTATTTTGGGTTCTGGGCCTGCGCCATAGCAGTCCGACTTTCCAAAAAGGCGAGGACTTCGACGCCAAAACAGCGCCTAGACGACGCCTAGACGACGCCATTCACGACTACTCTTCATCTGGCGAGGCGAGTGAAGCTGGCGACCAGTCCCTAGCGCCAGGACGCCTAGTCGGCGACTAGGCGACGCCTAGGCGACGCCGTGACAAGCATGTTGGTAGTGTTCAGGTCCCTAACACTCACAAACCTCCTATAGTATCCGGTTAGCCCTAAAAATCCCCGAACCTCTCGGACCGAGCGAGGTTGCGGCCAGTCCACTTCTGCACTGACTTTTGCTGGGTCCATGGCCACCCCGGCCTGCG